ATTGTCCATATGGTGTCATTTGATCAGTTAAGGACATGTTGATGTGGGAATGTTGTCCATCTGTTCTGGAGCTACTTTCAAAATCATTTTTCATTTAATCATGCATTTTCTTTTGAATGCAGATAAACTTGTGGTTAAACTAATTTCCTGATTATTTTACCTCTAATTACAATCACCAATCCCATCTTTTTCTCCATCTATCATCTGTCTTTCTGACTCATTACATTATTTCAAATAATCCTCATTTGAATGGGTTCCATATGAACTGTCCCATTACATTCTTACTTTTACAGCATTCGCCAGCATATTTTTTATTCAATTAATTTTCACATCTCAGCTCTTTTTCCATCTTATTTTGAATGAAGGGATTCTAGCTTCATTCACATTTCCATTTCATTGCATAACAAGTCTTTAGGAATAATACTAGCATTGCTCTACAAGTAAATGCTAGGATTAAGTTATAATTTTCTTCGTTTTTTCTTTGGTGCATGAAGACTTTGAAGTTAAGGAAAAGATCCAGCTCTCATGCACTAATCCTGCATTGTCAGATTATCATTCACCGTGGCATTTAATGGATGAAAGGATGTTTTCAGTATCCCTCTGTATCTATGTCCGTATGTCATACAGTAAACATATATTCCAGTGTATACCTTTCACACACACACACACACACACACACACACACACACACACACACACACACACACACACACACACACACACACACACACACACACACACACACACACACACACACACACACACACACACACACACACACACACACACTCAGCACTTGAGATGTCGTGCAGATATATTATCTCTCTTTCTTCTCAAGTGCCTTCTTGTGCTGTTGTTGCTTTCTTGCATCCGCAAAGATCCCTATCACCGCTGGCAGCCTCTCTCTCTCTTAGACACTCATACACACACACACACACACACACACACACACACACACACACACACACACACACACACACACACACACACACACAAAACGGAACTGATACACAAAAACCAATACAGGGCTTGCTTGCTGGATCAGAAGGACATTATGAAGTACCCCCAACACACTCATACAGAACAAAAGAAAACTCTCAAACACACGGAAAGTGTGTTCACTTCAGCTCTAGCCTGACTCTACCAAAGAGCTGTAAACCATGAACATGGAAATAGGGTAAACCGCAAGGGATGAAGTGAGCTATTAACAATAGCCTTATATACAAGTATAATAACTTAAACTAGCACATACACACTTTCTGTTCTCATTATCTGATTCACCATCCTCTTTTTCTCCCTTTGTGTACTTTGTGGCCATGTTATGTCTCACTATCTGCTAGTAGTCATCTTTAAACTGAGTTGTCATTGCAATGGCTGCTAGAGGACTTTTTCACTTCAACATAAACTTGTATCTTTTTTGGGCATTTGCTAAATTATGATTCCGTTAATGTAGTTAGGAGTACTGTCTTGTCCATCGGGTTGATTTTAATGCAAAAAAAAAGAATGTATGAGCATAAAAGTATGTGTATAACCACTACACTGTATCTAAAAAAGTATAACAAAGATTATGGCTCTGCTTTATCTTTCAATTTGTGTTCTTCTACTTAAAAAATCAGGGAATATCTGTTAGGAGAATAGTGCTGTTCTTCCAGTAGGGTTCCAGATATTTGGAGAAGCCAGGGAGCATTGAAGCTGTTCTGGCAGCTTGTGCTGGCCCATCAATTTACTAAGAAACGCAATGCAGGTTTTCTTACTTCAATTCATTTGCACTTATAACCTGACTTTCTGTACTTAATTTTTCCGATCTTTCTTTATTCATATCTGTCTTTTTCTCAAATATATGAGCACATAAAAACAGCACACACAAAGTCACTAGAAGGACAAAGATGGTACATATTGTTTGATGGATGCTAGTGGTTAACCAGATACAACTGTCATGTTGGCTTTTTGCCGTTGTAAAGTGTTGGTGCTGTGGTTGACTGGGATGCATGGTTGCTCTATGTGTCAAGTCCACAGCAAAATAATAACTGCCCCCACCCCCCCTCTGTATCTTTATTATATGTATTGTCAAGTACAAGAGTCCTGCATTCATTTTGCATCTTGGTTGTTTTAACTTAATTTACTGTAAGTTTAGTATTCAAGGAATGGAAGAAATACAAAGAAAGCATGATTGTTTTGTTACCACATTGTGATTTCTGTTTAACTGTAGAGTCATTCCAACAGCAGCAAATCTCCTGGCATGGTCTCCCTCACGCTCACTAATGCATAGTCACTCAATGCTCTCAACAGTTGTTTCATGAGAAAATATACTATGTCGCAACATGCCCGCATTTATCACTAGTTGACTTCAAGGAGATGGTGAAAGAAACTATTTGTAGAGAGTCATACTGTGGCACAATTTTCCCTTTTAAAGCGGCAGATTCTGGCAAGGCTACAGTTGGGTGTCATACAAGTGCAGATATTATCTGGCTTCTTCTGACAGACTTCTTTGACTTGAATTGGCAAGTAATTCAGTGCCAAGGAACTATCTGTCATTTTATGAAAGCCAACAGTTGCAAAATTATATTTATATGAAATAGACCATCTACAAAAGTCAAGCATTAATCTGATTTTCTTTCACTGAGGAAGTGCAAGCAGGTGCCGAGCTCACAACAAACATGTGTTTTCAGATAAATGGTTGCTATCTCAATAAATCTCAACAAAGGTAATAAAATCATAATTAACTATGCAGCTCTGAGGCTTCAACTTTAAACATCTATATCTACATATCTATACGTATTTAAATCCTTTTCCACCACTAAAGTACAGACAACCAGGAAAATCAAAAACCCAATCTCATAACATAACATTAAGTCTTCTAAATAGAGAATGTTAGAGATTCAAGACCTCCTCGAGATAGGTAACATCTTTAAAAACGTTAAACTGCAGTGTTTAAAATGTTCTAAAGTGGCCCCATTTAAACAGGATCCATGAACAAAGAAACCCCAGGATCTGGTCTTCATCCCCAGAATCAATCATCACATCATGCTTTATCTGTGGCATGAGCCTCCAGGGCAGTTGGCATGCACGCAATTGCGCAATTGCTTATAGGAGCAATGACTGAACAAGAATCTCGCCTCAGTTATTTGAGGCTTCGTTATGTTATCTTTGTTTCTCAAGGGACTACTGCAGCAATGCTTTTGGTTAGGTGTGTGTGTGTGTGTGTGTGTGTGTGTGTGTGTGTGTGTGTGTGTGTGTGTGTGTGTGTGTGTGTGTGTGTGTGTGTGTGTGTGTGTAGTATTGTGTGTGCAAGCAGTTTATGTGTTCATATGCCCGACACTGTAAGAGCTAAATGAAATTGAGTTGAAGAGATTGGATTTGATGCTGCTATAGTGCGTGATGCTGGAGCAGGCTCATTACATTTCAGAGATTTCATCGACGTTTACTGATTTTGGTGAGAGGAATTGGCTTTAAAGAAACTATTTTTGATGTAACAGTGGACTACTTTAAAGACGTAGAACTCACAATTTACTGGATAAAAGTGTGCCAGAACATACAGAGCGCAAAGAAGAGAGAGCGTTTTTATAACCTGTGTTTGCATAATTTCAACATGTGCACATAAAATGGACAGTCAGTGGCCTTGTAATGACGTGAACTCATCCCATATCTTATTGGAACTGTGTGTTCTCAATAGTAGAAGTGCTTTTTCTATGAACAATGTGTCCTTCACAGCAGAAATCCTTTTTTATAGCTATGTAGACATTTTCCATTGGTGTCTCTTTCCTCTCAGCGAACAAACCATCTGCAATGCTGTTAGTTGGAACTCACGCTCCGACAGTAGTGGTGCCATATAAATATCAAATGCATTAAATGGTGTCGGTTAAACTCATACCTTTGTTTTAGTAAGTCCCTGCCAAAGTGTTCTTGAGCAAGATACCTGACCACAGCTGTTCAATAATACCTAGTTCATTGGCCTTGTAAAATGCATCATCAGTAGTAGGAACAAGCACTACAGCCAACATTACACACTTCCAACATCACACACATGTCTCAGCAGAGCGAGATCTGTCAGAGTGAAGATGTGACGCCTAACAGTTTCAGTACAAAGTCTCACATTTTTAAGGTTAACATACTGTAGGAAATTTACTGCAGGATGTTTGTTTTAACATTGGTTTGAACAACAGATAAAAGTAAAAATTAAGAATAGAAATATTGAAGAGGGCTTTAAAAGAGATGGTTAACGAATGTGCCGTAACTCTGACCATGCCTATTAGGGAGGCAGGATTAAATAGGATTGAGCGTAATGCACTTCTATACGTCCGAAGCTTTGTTTGTATTAGTATATGAATGCATGCATCACCCTTAATGTTTTGGGTAATCAAGTCCATTCAGCTTCCCATCAATTCTTACATTGGCTTTATGTGGAATCAATGGCTTCTTCCCTAGTTTTCAATAAGCACTACGGCAAACTTTTGCAATCCACCATGACAGACAGTAAATTAAATGTCCCAATCTCTAAAATTTCTTAATACACAAGCAAGGGAAATATATGGGGTTTGTTGCAAGTCAATCACCAAAATGTAGACTTCATTGTGCAAAACATGAGAAGAAAATTAAACCCCCCACATTATTTCCCCAAATTACAATGGAGAATTGCAGTTTTTAATGTTTCACAATGATCCAACCTGTGTATATATATATATATATATATGTATATACTGCTCCTAGTACTAGGTACTAGGATGGGTAAAAAGCAGAGACTACATTTCACTGTGTGTGCTGTGTGCATGAACATGTGCGACCAATAAAGAGGGTTTCATCCTCCGATTCTATCCATCTCTATTCTATATAATATCAGATACAGGACTCCTAAATTGACTGACTGGTTGTTTGACAAAATATTTTACATGTGCCATTTAACATCTTTCCACCATTCAAACTGTAGTGTGAAACAACAAACAAAGTGAGCAAAGCATTAAGAAATTCCCAAACATACATAAGAAGTCTTTGTATGCCCCTACCTTAGTTACAGCAGGGTATCCCGCAGCCACCTCCCCGGAGCAGTAGGGCTTCTCCTCATGGGAAACATCGACAGATGAGGCCCACTGGTCAAGGAAACCATTAGGGGTGTAGAGGCCACAGTCCCTCACGCCGGTCTCTCGTTCAAAATCCTCACACACCCCGTCGCCATCATAGTAGTAACACATGCTTGGCTCCTCTGTGAGTGAAGAGATCATAGATAGCAGAACAAAAGTTGTAATTATGACTTAATACTTATCTGTGGTGCTTTTTCTAGTATGTTGAAGTTTAATTGGAGCTAAGATGTCTGTCAGTCACCACCTGGCTCTGTCTTTTTCTCACTTAAACAAAGCCATCCAGGTGAATTTTTTACAGAGTTCGATCTTTACTACTCACCTCCCTTTTATCATTCTTTTTTATAGAACATGTGCATTTACAGTACTGATCCTTTGGGATAGCAGTCTAACCTTATGTTTATTATTTTGGAAGGTAAAGAGAGGACCAGATAAAGAAGTGGGAGGGGGAAAAAGGGTAAAAGGTGCATGAAAAAAGGAGGATGCATTCTTGAGTTTGTGAGAACCTACACATAGAGAGAGAGAGCATGTTAATGTAGAAAAAAAAGAAATACTGAAAGGGAGAATATGGATAAACACAAAGAGAGGAAGTAAGGGGGGGCTAGACAAAGTCAGGAGGTAAAGAAAGATACAGCAGTACTTTTTACAGACATCCTGCCCAGAGTTAAGGTCTGGAACGGGAACTTATGGACTGGAGGAGAGGGGAGCAGAGCAGGGAGGTTGCCTGGGCCTCATTGCTCTCCGCTCTCAGCTAAAGCAGTGTCAGCCGGTGGGGTTCCAGTGAGGGGGAAAGGCGGCATTCTGTGCCAAGTTGGCCGGGGCCTCCTCCTCGAAATTCCAGCCTTCTCCAGCAAAGCCAAAAACTCAAGTCAGTTCTGTGCTCTGGCGATGGTGAAACGAGGGGCTACTGAGGGGGCATACAGAATACTGCTCCCGCCACTCACTCAGCAGGAGCAGAAGCAAGGAAGAAGGGAAGGAGCGAGGCAGGAGGAAGCTCAAACAGTGGCTTGTGAAAGTGGCAGAAGTAATATGCAGAAAGTGAACTCATAAGAGAAGATAAGTAAAAGGAAAAAGAGAAAGGGTGGCGCTACTGTATTCAAATTTGGACGGGGATATGTGTTTAGAATATAACTGGAAAGGTGATTGAGTTTAATATCAAAAGGAAAAGAGAGCCCAATAGTTGGAGAAAGGAAGAGAGCGGTGAGATAAACAATGATAAACAGAGCCAGAGAAAAGAAAGAAAAGTCTGCAGGCTCTCAAAGTTAACTATTCCTGTTTTGTTTTGTTTGATTATTTCAACACAGCATCCCAGGTTAAACTGACCTTTATGAAAAACGCTTTTCTGATACATGTTGATGCAAAAAATCTGATTGCATTTCCTTTATGTCTGCACTTGTGTTTCCTGTCGCTTGGAACTCTATTGAGAACAAGGAATTTAGAGCGAGGGGAAAATAACTTGTCAATTTAGTCTACTCCAGATATAATTAGGCCTAATCGTGTGAATGGCCTATTAAAGCTCGTCCAGGCTGCAGCACCCTGGCCTGTTGTATACTTAGTATCAATTTTCTATCCAACTCTCTCTTTCACTATCCAACACACTGACAAGCAGGCACTCGCTCACACATACAGACAGATGGACAGAAGGTCCCATCATTATAGTGTCAGATTTCTGTTAAAAACTACAAGTATTTCAGACATTGTCGGACACACACACACACACTTACACACACCCCTGAGTGCTGCAGTTGGTGGAAAAACAGCACAGCCAATGCAGTCATCCAGCAATCTGACAGGGATTAAGTGGCCACTTCACTAAGGCTCACACGTGTGTATGTAGTGCACATGAACACACACACATATATCACAACAGGGGGGCAAAATGATAGTCTCCAGCAGGGGAACTGGAAGGGAAACCATCCATCTATTCATAAAACAAAACAACGTAGGAGATGCCAGTCACTCAACTTTGTAGAATGAGATGACTCACCCTTTAGAAAAATAATGATTTCCAGATTTATTTATTTTTTTAACTGGAGGTCAAAGTGATTATGATATGTAATGGCATTTTTATTCTTCTGAGAAAGGCGTAAAGAACTTGGATTAAAGAGGCCCAGATGTTAAATCTGTTCATTCACAAAGTAAGCCTTTGGGAGTTTTCACCATTTCAGTCTACACAGACAATAATATCATGGTGCGGAAACAAAACTGTTTTGTTATGAAGTGGTGGTTTAAACATAACTTCATACAATTAAAATGTCACTTTTGTTTTAGAAGCTTTTCAGTTTCATACATAGTCTGGCTATTATTATTTCGTTATCCAACTTTAGCCTACTTTTAGGCTACAACAAAGTCAGTTTACAAGGAAAATAATCTTTCATAAACTGTGTATTTTTCGAAGTTAATTCCTCGATGAAAGGTGCACTGAAGGTCACCTAACTCTCTTCTATAGTACTTTGCTCAACAGCCGATTACAGAGAAACATACCAGTGAAGGCATTTCATTTTGGTTGATACATTTGTCCATATTACTCACCAACACAGTTGAAAAAAGGCTCCTTCTTGCACTGGCTGGAGCAGCCGTCCCCATTCATAGAGTTCTTATCATCACACTCCTCTCCTTTGGATCTGGAATAACAAGATGAGGTACTCAGAATAAATAAACACACACCGTCTATTTTTCTGAAAATGCTTCGCACATCTATATGCGTGCATTTACAAATATTTTAATGTGGGTGCGTGTTACCTCTGGATGCGTCCATCTCCACAGTACGGCGCCCCCAGATCGTGTACCAGCCGGGCGGAGGGCTCACTCTCACTCCGGCTGGAGATGGTTTGGACCTGGTAGGTGTACACAACATGTGGCGCCACATCCCTGCAAAGAAAGAGGCAAAGATGACAGTAAGTCCACATATTTCGGATAACTTGAAGCCTTGCAGGAAATGTCTGATAAGGAATCACATATCAATAAAGGGCAACTGAGGAAGATACTCGGATCAGGCGGAGAGCGGGTCGATAGGACTGTGTGTGTTTGTGTGTGTTGTAGCAATCCTATATCTCAAGTGCCACTAGCTCAACACAAATTAGAACATCTGTCCCAGCACACACATCTACTTATCTAGTCACAGCGTTTATTGCTTTGAGTCCGGGTTTGTTTTGTATCCTCATCACGGTGATTGAAGGAACCATCGTGATGAATACACAATGGACAGGAAAAATGTTGGGGGACAACTCACTTTCATTGGTGAAAGTCGCCATGGTGGTTTCTTGAGTCACCATTATAAGGAAGTCTGAAAAAAAAGACTGAAAAAAGGGGAAAAAAACATAAATGAGAAAACCAAAATCATAAACGAAAAAGAAAAAGCTGTAAATGAGAAACCATAAGAAAAGCAACAAAACAAAACTCAAGGAGAGAAAACTGTAAATGAGAAACAACTAAAAACTGCAAGTGAGGGTACTGTCATGACATTTCATGTCTTGTTTTGAGTGTTCTTTTGTGTTAACTCTGTCTCTCTGATCTGTTGTTTGCCTTTACATGTTTTGTATTACCACCAGATTTAATATTTTCTGTTTGATTCTGGCCCTGTTTAAACTTTGGCCAGGCTTTCAGTAAGATGAAACAAGAAGCTGGATTTTATGGATCCACATGATTGCTTCATCTTAAGTTTCAGTACAGGAAAAGAAACTAAGAATAGAAGTTTATTAAAAAAAACAGGTAAAGGCAAGTACAAATGTTATGTATTTGCTACTACTATAAACAATAAAAAAAAAGGATATCTTACATCTTAGATACAGGATATTTTTTAATCAGTACTCTCACTTGCAGCTTTGTTGTTTACAGTTTGTTTGTTTTTTGACCTTTTTTTTCATTTTGCTTATAGTTTTGGTTTCTCATTTCTAGCTTGATTTGTCGCTCATGGTCATGGTTTCTCCTTCATGTTTTGTTTTGTCTTTTTAGAGTTGTTTACCCTAATTTCTGTGTGTCCTGGTGTTAAGTAACTGGACAGTGAGCAATGTAGAGACATGTTGTGAGCTTAATACATGTTTTACGTTCTCCAAGTTATTCAAGGCATACGGGGGAAAGGAATGCATAGTATTGGTTAAATACATGGCAGAAACTAGCTATGGGAGTAGGGAACAACATCAGTAAATGTGGTTAAATAGGACCAATAGGTTAGCCATATATCATTTCATGTAGACCATCAAGTATTATAGACCAATTTTCAAAGTGTTTCAGTGGTGTGCAGTGAAGCCATAACCTTTTATGAGCTCTTAGTCTAACCATTTACTCTAACAATGTTGTCCACTAATCACAGAGAATCGAAGACTCAACTTAACGTCTAAATGTCAAGTGTCCTTGGGCAAGAACAGAAACTCCAAATGTGCGTAAATGAGGCATTTACCATTTATATGCAAAGAAAAATGCATGGTAAATGTGAGAATATGGCATTATGCGTACCCATGTACCAACACACTGCATTGCATGAAAGGTGCTCAAGTGCATGTATAATTGTGAAAACACACATTCACGCTTCTTCCCCGGTGATTTGTGTTAAAAAGAACACAAACAAAAGATTTACAAAAGGAAAGAGTATTTTATTAATAACATTCCTGACTATTCTCCAATGCTTTTGTTTTCCTCCTTATCTTCATTTTTCGTGTGTTTGTTCATCACATTCCCAGCAGACGAAGTTCAAGTATGGTGTGCTATCTCAATTATAAGAACTGATGGACCTAAAGATCATGTAACAAAATGAATTTCCCCAAAGCAAAATGTGTGCCTAGGATGAGATGTTTATGTTGGCTTTATTATTATCAACACAAAATGTTGGACCTGACAGACTCTCTTTTATACTTCAGTATGTCCTGTTCTGCAATGTTGGCTCATGGGGTGTAACTCCAGGCTACACTCAAACATGCCCCCTCTAATTGAATTAGTTTAGCCCCTGGAAAAGTCGAGCTGTGGGAGACTTTATCTTTGAGGAGAGCAAACACACAGAATTGGCGGAAAGAAGAGAGGAATAGATCTTTTCAGTAAGACAGCATAAGAATATCGTTTTTATGGATAATGACAAATCCTGGTTATCATATACTGTAGGTAATCCAATACACAAAAAAGTGATTAGTGCATTAGACCACATTCGGACACATGGTCATGCAAGAACAAGCAACAACAAAGACAAAAGTGGCTAGATCTGGCAGAGTAAGGGGTAATCAAAGAGGAGGGCAAGGAGAAAACCCATAGATAAAATGAAAAATAAAAGGAGACAGTGAAAAAGGAGGAAAAATGTGTAAATTCTCCAATGTATTTGTTTTTGTTTTTTTGCTGCAAACCAGTCTGCAAGGCCAATAGTTGGCTACTTAAAACTACTTTGCCTATAGTAAGCCTTGATGTTTCATGGAAAGCAGATAACTATTTTGGGTTTGATCCCTTTTGTTTGTTACCGAGTTTACAAAGTTCATACCATGGTGAAACAAAGTGTTTCCAATCAGATTATAGGAGATCAAGGCCGTATTCCCTACTGCAACAGTAGTGTCTAAACCGCCTGTATTGGACTACAGTATACAGCATGCTGGTAAGCAACACTTAATACCTGGGTGTCATAATGCACCTTTGGTTCTAGAGGGTCAATAGTGCAACTCCTCTTAGCGTGATAACAACTCTTTAAACTTAGCCTTCAACCTGTTCCCAATTAGGTGCATGCTTGATTCCTCCTGACCTCCCTGCGAATAGCCATGCTGTGTTAGACGCTGCAGTTGGCAGCATGGAAGAAAGACACAGAACGGTGCAGATGTAACAACGTTCCATAAATGATCCTTCCACTGGACTTTGGTGGTGGGATATATATAAGAACTACATTAACAGTGACAGCGACATTATAAAAGAGTACATTTGTGAAAGTGTTTATGGACAGCACCACTTTATGCGGTACAATAGTTTAATAGCCAATATCCTGTGATAGACATGACTTCTGGAAGCCATCCAGACTTCATAAAACCACACTATGATCTGCAACTGATTAGATATGATATGTAACTGATCTGAGATGTAACTCACACTACAAAGGACTTTAATGCAGTCTCAGACAAGGTGTCACGTGATAAGATTTCATCGCTGGTGCATCTTTGTGCATCCAGACATCCTTCCCGAGACCCATGAAGGAATAGAGGTTTTATCTTGGCTCCCGCTCAAAGTCAGGCACACAAGGCACTGTAATATGCTTTTCAAAGGTGTTTTGATAGCACCAGGTGATTACACATGGAGCCATGTGTGTGCATGTGTGCATGTGTGCATGTGTGCATGTGTGCATGCTATTGAGAGCAAGAAGAGTGTTGGTGTGTGTCTGTGTTCATCTATGTGTGTGTTCCTGACTCTACTGCTGTGTGCACTAGACTTATGTGTGAGCATGCATATGGATGTGTTTCCGTTCTCTAGCTGCTTATTGTTCTTGGCTGATAGATCCCAGATGAGAAAAGCAGGTAAATGTAAGTAAGTTGAGAAAATATTGAGCCTGCAAGAACAACAAACTGGGCAATGTTTATTTTGTCAGTGAAGCAGCTGACATACGTTTGAGGTTTTACTGCGATTCATTTGACACCCTTGGTATGTCTAACAAACTAATGATACAAGTGTTGGCCTTAAAGAGGTACTTTAAAAAATAAAATGGCAACGTGTAGACCCACAAATTCTACGAATGTGAAGTTTGTTGTTAGTATTAAATCGGACTGCTTTAGATCTGCTAATTGCCTAAATTGCAGCTAAGGTGTTGCATTTGTTTATCTTTAAATGAAAAGGACAATAATTACCAGTGCAGCCTGTGTCCAAGAAATTCAATTCTGCAAACCCCTTAGTAGCACCAATTACATTCCTATATGATTTGTCTGCTGGAGAAATTCTGTTGAGTGAACCAGACATCCCATGACTCCCCACGAGGACTACACTGTTCACTCTGTCTGCAACTCATGAATATGGTTCATATTAGGAGGATTATTTCTAATGTTGAACATCCTATAAAGAAGGCGGGTCAGCCGGTTATGAAGAGAAGAAACTGTTAAAAGTTCAAATTAATGGGTGATGAGAGGGAATAAAAATGTATCTGGGAATAAAAAGTGTTGCTAAATTATTCATAGTTTATTTAAACTACAGTATTGATTTCAATTGAACCAACATTTTGTATAGTTATATCAAATTCAAAATCAATAAGATCGCACATCTCGAATGTATGCTTGTTATTTGAATTGCCAATTAACCAACATTGTCTTAGAAACTACCTATGTTTATTTTGTAATTTTATCAACTTTATCATAACAAATAATAGCACAAAAAACTGAAGTATTGTGAAAACAACGGTTCTTTTGTTCTTTTTTCAACACAATTTTTTTTAAGGTGGGATATTGACTTGCCAACCAGCGCCAAATAGCTTAGCTAAGGAAGGATAGGGGGTATAATGTGGAAGATTTGTGCAGACCAGGGTAGAGTCAGATTACAGAGGGGGTGTGGGGTAGTAATGATGCTGGGGGAGCTGCCCTAACTCTTTTGGCTGGGAGGTCTCTTCACATGAGCTCAGATAGGCTTTGACTGAATGACAGCTCTGAAACCCACATCAGGAGGAGGATTAGCTGATGGGCTGGAGTGCTTCAGAGGGATGGGGTCAAACTAACCCAAACCTCCTACCCTCTCTCTTCACTTTCTCGACCCCCTAATGTTCTCCTCAATCACCTATTGCCCCCCTTGATCCTAGCGATGATTTACCCCCAACTAGTACAGCTTTCCATCCCTGCGTCTCCTCTTCACTTGACCCTTGTTACTCCATACCATAATTTACTCTGTCACGCTGACCTCCCGGCCCTTAGCCATTCCAAACTAACCACCACCCATGGATGGAGCCAAGATGTCAGTTATCCTCTTGGTCAGTTTGCCCAAGCTCAGGTGAAGGCCAGCAGCCTGACAGTGGGAGGTCAATCAACCCCCTCACCCAAAACCTCCATAGCCCATAGAAACATGTTGCAAGAAGAATCAGCTTACTGTGTGGTCAACCAAAGCAGTTCAGCAGATGCACAAAGGCAATCAAACACAGTACTTCACATTGGATTTGTGGCATGCCAAAACATCTGAGTGAACTTTGCTCTTTACTCCACCATGTCAAAGGCTATGTTTATTGTAAGACAGTGAGGGAGATGGGGCATTATCATAGCCGTCAAAATGATATCCCAGAAAACATCACTGACAGACTTCTTTTGTATGAGTCTTGGTCTCCTGTTGTGCGTATCTTTCTTTTATAATTATTTGTTTGTTGAAGAATGCAACATTAGAACTTTCGCACTTTAACTTAATTTAATTTCACTTATTTAGTTTGAGTAGTCTACTGACAGGCAAACAGACATAAGAACATAATGGTTTACTCACCAAAAATGTCCATAATAAGTAAATAACGCTAATGTGCATGCTATGGTCATACTGTACATTCTTAGAGAAATGCAAATGCTCTCAATTGTTTTTATCTCCTTATAATGTTTTTTTTATTATAATTTTTAGCAGTTTTTAGGAAAGACTTGTGTTTAATAAAGACTGCATACCGTTTTTAATTACTTCATGAATTAAAGACTCTGATGGCTGTAACATATACACTTTCTATAAAACTTATCTGACCATTTAACAGAGACAAGATCATTATGCTCTCACAACAAGGATAGTCAGCCAGCGCCACTGACCACCACCACTGGAATGCAACCGCAGCTAGTGAAAGACACCACAGCAGTGAAACTACCTACAGTACATCAATAATCACTGAAGTGTGCCAAAAACCCCAAATACATTCATCTGTACTGCGGACAGCCTTCCCCAGACACAGCCATTCAACCAGGAATTTGTGCACAGACACTTTGTGGAACTTAGATATCATCATTCCATCTTGCATAACATGCATGCTCACCATTTGGCCTCTTATCAAGCACTTTCCTTCTCATGTGAACTACAATGACAGCACGATAGTGAGATGGCACAACAAGCAGCAGTGCCATGTATAGCACAATATTTATCATGTCAGCACATTCCATAAAAGCAAAGCACTAAACTCTCACCACAGTGTGCAGATAATACCTTTAACAAGACATCTATTTGCCCTTGCTTCATGGAACATTGGAAAAAACAAATGTGGGCAACATCTGACCTGTGACTTAGGAAACAAATGTTAGGCAGTAGATTTGAAACTGCAAAATAACTGGTGGCTGGCTAGTGCTCCTGGGGGTATTGAAAAGGATATCTGGTATAACAAGAACATATTTTTGTACATAGTTTCCACAGACAAAAAAAGGACACCTTCTTGCATGGCCAAAAAACCCTGATGACTTCACATTGAAGCAGGGAGCTAAATGGTAAGCAATCAGCTTTTCTCTCAACTTCTAAAAGAAAATACAAAAGCATGGCCAATGTATCGTGTGGCTCGAACCCTCTTCTAGGACAAAGGGGTGGTCTTTTTCAAACCTTGAGAAAGACCAGAGTTTTCTTAACTCAGGATTGTCAGACATAGATCAGTCATACAAAAGTGTTCACCTACCGGGTTACTCACCTGTCTATATATCGGCGGATAGGCTCATTCAACATCAGACCGTGTGGTGCATGTGTGAAAGGTGGTTGACGCAACAGGCGGTAGCGTAGAGGTCGGCAATGCCTGCAGAGTCTGAAGTCTGGCTTGGATGACAAGAGAGTGGCATCGATCTCTAGGTGTTGTTCCATGGTGAAAAACTGTACCCCATACACTTCATCCTCTATGTCCAGCTTCAGAGTCAATGGGGTGTCACAGAAGACATTACTGGGGCCCAATGAAATGTTGTTCCCACTGACGGTCAGGAGCAAGATGTTATGGATAGCTGGCAGTGCTGTTTCCTCTGGGCTAAAGAAGGTGACCCATACAGTCAGGGAGTCAGGTACCAGCGGGTAGGGGAACTCCAGCTGAAGCATGCAGCCCTGGAGAGGACACTCCGACAGACCCACAATACCTTGCTCAGTCCCTGCATTTGGGCTCCAGGTGCGCACACTTGGCTCACAGGCCTGCTCCACATCTGGAGGGCCTGTGGATACAAGACAGACAAAACAAAATGACATTTAACATAAACCAGACACAATAGGCAAAAGTCACCAGGCCATTTCCTACATTAACACACTGAATTACTTTTAGATTAGACATGAAAATAAATATTATATGCTACAGGCGTTAAAATAAATACTCAAAAGACATCTTTGAATTCTCTACTAAAACATCTCAATCATAATAGCAATTTTGGTGCTGACATATTAATTATTTGCATCAGTGATCCTTGTAGTGTACACAATTATTGCAACACCATGGTAGAGGTGAAACTGAGAGTTCATTGTGAGTCCATTTGCAGAGGAAAGGCAGAGCTGAGGTGTGTACCTTCTAAGAGGGGCCTGTGCAGGGTTATCACTTCAGCATAGTCATTACAACCTCTAACAGTCACACTCCAACCATATTTGGAGTCCACACACAGTTAACTTACATTATCCCATGTGACGTACACTAACATTCATCAAGCACTTTTAGAAGCCAGCAAGTAGCAGACACTATGTTCTCCCTAGATTTCCTTTTGTGCATTTCCAAGCTGGCAACCAACGAAGCCATTTGCTAACCTCATTTCTGGGCACCATGCAAAATTCCAGTGTTTAATCAAGTGAGGACTGAATATTGTTTCCAAGCCACATTATCTCAACACATTTATTATTTTACTGTAAGTGTGTGTGTGGCCAGAGTGGAGGTGAATTAAAGAAAAGAGAAAGCGAGACAGAGAGAAAGAGAAAGGGAGGGAGGGAGAATGAGAGGGGAGCTGGGAGAGAATAACCTAAGATACTCCAAGAGCTTGGCTTTGCTGGGCTTATGTAGTCCTGGCTTTCTGGGTACATTTTCATTGAGTTTGCAAGGAAAGGAGCTGTAGCCACTGAAAATATTTTGTAATGTCAGCTGTTATGATGGGCCCTACTCCTGCTCTGGCGCTGTTGCTAATGTGGTTTGAGATTTAAGAGGAGACAGAGTATGAGTCTCATCCAATGTGTAACCTGAGGCAATGTAAACTGTATTTCAAAGATGCAAAAATGTATCTATGATTGGCAGAAAAGTCTGTGGAGGCAAAGAGTTTTTAATCCAAACCATAATACGCTATCAATAATTATCATTGTAGTTGGACACCTTCAACAGATCATGAAAACTCCTAATAAAAAGATAAATGCTATATTAAATGTTAATGTTTCAATCAACCTAGAATCACAGCAGCAGACTGCACGAAAAAATAATATCAGCTGCTTACTGCTACATAAACAGCTCAGCTCTGAAGTGTTTGACCCATAAGTCCCTTAGTACAGGGAGAGGGGGCCCCAGAGAGACTGAACCATCCAGACATAAGCTTTGAAAATAAGCCACACATTTTTCTGTTGATTAGCTGATCCCATCTAGGTATTGGTCTGATGACAAATACAACCATTCTTGGAAAAGAGGGATGGACAATGTTACATCTCGTTGGAATTCAGAGGATCAGTATTGGTATCCTTCATAGAAATGCAGCTCACTGTATCAGTCAGTAGGAGTACAATGAGTTCAACTGAATTGTGGAAAATCAACTGGTTGGTGTGCGTCATATTCCCTACACATAGAAAGTAGAACAACTATAATGTCCATACTGTATGTCATTATGGTCATGCCAATATAAGCTCTGTATAGGCTATAGGCTATTTTAATTTGAGTTGAAATGATTGCAGGCTTGTTTTTTTTCTAAAGTTCAGTCGGTCTCAAAATCGTTGCCGAACAATCCTGATGCTTTGATTTGTTTTCACTGCTACTCATCCAAAGTCACCTTGTTCAAATGAATGAACGCCTAATGTTAGAATGAGCCTTGTTTTCATCCTTGACATTTTTTTCTTTTGGGGGTTTAACATATTGGTTAGCAATAATGGCATTCCTTCATCTTGTTCATTGTCAGAACTTCAGTGGGATTATGGCTGATGTGGGCAGAGGGCCATGGGGGTTATAATGAGACTTTTTCTTAGGGTAAACACTTCTTTTAATGTTAACATCTACTGCTAACTGAATTGACAATGATGTACTTAACAATTGTGGCGTTTATTGGGTTATCATCCGAAAGCTTGATCTTTTCCATGCAGAGGTACATAAATAATACTGAAGCTATAGGCTAATCAATGTTTGTCAAAAAATGACTATAGTTGGACAAGATATCTCCAGGTTGGATGCTGGTGCCTGCCCACTATGCAGCCATCACCCTTCTGCTCTGGAGAATCACACTGATCCAAAAAAAGTCCAGGGAACCGAATGAAAAAACAGACAGGGATATGTCCGGGCATGCAAGCTTTGTGCTTTCTAAGAAATCTCTGGCTCTGGCTCTCACTATCGATGACTCACTGTCACACACTGTTACTCCCACTCCAAAGGCAGACATCAACCACCATTAACCCTTTTGCCCTGAAACACACACACACTGAGACACACACACACACACACACACACACACACACACACACACACACACACACACACACACACACACACACACAATTTATGAAGGGAACAGACCTGGAACAAACACTACAGCAGTGTTTCTCAAAGTGGGGGGGCGCAGGGGCATGACAGGGAGGGCGCGAGAGACAAGGAGAAAAAAAAAAATTTATAATTAAAAATCATAATTTGAAAAATTATTGATTCGAAAATAATATGATACAGTACGAGTATGTCTGGGTCTCTGTGTTTCATAGAAGCTTGGCTCTGTGTGTGTGTGTGTGTGTGTGTGTGTGTGTGTGTGTGTGTGTGTGTGTGGAACGAGCTATTTTGTGTGCGTGCGTGCGAGCGAGAGAGAGAGAGCGCACCGGTACCGGAGATCGTTGTTCTTAGCTTCTGGTGCTAGCAAGATACGCTAACAGATATAAGGAGCTTTTTCAACAACAAGGTGGAGGAGAGTCCTTTCCTGTCAGACTGAGAGGCTCAGTGAACTAAAGGACTCTGAGTGTTTAGATAGTTCACTTTAGTCTAAGTTATCTCAGTGGGCGGGTCTCAAACGTTTTGGTCACCATTAATGTAAACAATTATTTCCGAGGCACACGTTTATGATCATTATA